GAGCAAGGAGACAGATGCGGGACTCGATCCCAGGACCCTGAGATCATGACCTGAGCCGAAGGCAGATGCTTAACCATCTGAGCCACCCAGGCGCCCTCCCATCCATGTTTTTAATAACAGAAACCAAGGCCTTTCTGGTGCCCAAGTAGTAGAGGCTCAGTCTGTCACTTGGCAAGAAGTGCCAGTCTAGGGGGCAGCTGCTGCCCCTCCCTGCCCATAGACACCTGCCACAGCCACTACTGCTGTCACTCAGGGATTTGGTCTTCAACTACTCTCTGGCTCCGCTTTGGTTCAAGATCTGAAGTCCCATCTGGTTAGCCAAACTTATGTAATGTGACTCCCTCTTGACTCCACCAAGGGGTCAGAGAGGAAAGATCAGTTTTTTCCAGTTCCCAAACTGGGAACTGACAGACGAAGGGAGTCTTGGGAATAGTTCTTCTATTGATCTCATCCCATAGTACTGAAGGCTCCTTAGAGGAGAATCAGATCCTAGGAAAAGAGCGGTGGGAGGTGGGAAGGCCAAATACTCTGCTACTTAGAGCACATATGTACACTAACTGTTACTCCACTGATTGATATTCAGGTTGTTTCCAAAATTTCACTGTTAAAAATAATGCTGAGGAGAACATTTGTGTATGTGCCTTTTTGTTCACATGTCCGAGTATTTCTAAGATGGATACCTATTAAAAATTATGGATATATCTATCCTAAAACAGTGAAATACACATTCTTTTCAAGTGTACATGGAACATCTCCAGAATAGATTACACATTAGGCCACGAAACAAGTCTCAACAAATTCAGAAAGACTGAAGTCATACCATCATCTTTTCCAAACACAAAAGCTTGACAATAGAAATCAACCACAAGAAAAAAATATGAAAGACCACAAATACATGGAAGTTAAATAACATGGTACTGAACAATGAACAGGCTAACCAAGAAATCAAAGAGGAAATAAAAAAATACATGGAGACAAATGAAAATGAAAACACAATGGTCCAAAATCTTTCAGATGCAGCAAAAGCTGTTTTAAGAGGGAAGTTTATAGCAATACAGGCCTACCTCAAGAAGCAAGAAAAATCTCAAATAAACAACCTAATCTCACACCCAAAGGAGCTAGAAAAAGAAAAGCAAAACTCAAAACCAACAGAAGGAAGGAAATAATAAAGATTAAAACAGAAATAAATAAAATAGAAACTAAAACAAAACCAATAGAACAGATCAATGAAACCAGGAACTGGTCCTTTGAAAAGATCAACAAAACTGATAAACCTTTAGCCAGACCCATCAGAAAAAAAAAGAAAAGAGAGAAAGAGAGATAAAGAGAGATGGAGGACTCAAATAAACAAAAAGAAGAGAAATAACAACTGACACCACAGAAATACATAAGATTATAAGAGAATTTTATTAAAAAATTATATGTCAACAAATTGCCAACCTAGAAGAAATAGATAAATTCCTAGAAACATATAACCTCCCAAAACTGAATCATGAAGAAATGCAAACTTTGAACAGATGGTTACCAGCAACAAAATTGAATCAGTAATCAAAAAAATTCCCAAGAAACAGAAGTCCAGGACCAGACAGCTTCACAGGTGAATTTTACCAAATAATTAAATTAGAGTTAAAAACACATTTTTCTCAAACTATTCCAAAGAATAGAAGAGGAAAGAAAGCTTCCAAATTCATTCTATGAAGCCAGCATTACCTTGATACCAAAACAAGATAAAGACACTATAAAAAAAAAAGAGAACTATAGGCCAATATCTCTGACGAACATAGAAACAAAAATCTTCAACAAAATATTAGTGAACCAAATCCAACAATACAATAAAAATTCACTCACCATGATCAAGAGGGATTTATTCCTGGGATGCAAGGGTAGTTTGATATTCACAAATCAATCAACATAATATATCACATCAACAAGAGAAAGGATAAAAACCATATGATTATTTCAATAGTTGCAGAAAAAGGGGCGCCTG